CACGTTCCCCCCCCCCACCAAAGCTAGCCATCCAAAACAGTCCAGTGGAGCCTGAGTGGTGGGTGTTGCCTTCTGACACACTTCCGGTGATGTCAGGGGGTGTGGCCTATGCAAATGAGTTATGCTAATGAGTTATGCTAATGAGCTCCTGCACCTCTTTTTCTACGAAATGACCCCTGATCTCAGCACAGCACTGACCTCTTGCAGCGGCAGCAACGGGGTACTATTTCAGACTACACTCTCTTCGGTAGCATTGCTAGGTTTTTATTTATTTATTTATTTGGGATTTGTATCCCGCCCTACCCAAATGGCTCAGGGCGGCTTTAAGCAATCCTGCCCACTTCAGGGCCTTCCATCCTCATCAAAAATTATTCTCCCCCCGCCCCTTTCTAGGAAAGGCTAGTGTACCAGGGCACTGGTGCACGACAGTGGAACGAAAATAAAGACTCTGGTTGGTGGCAGGTTACCCAAGAAGAACCACTTAACCTTAGGAGAGAGGCTGGGGAGGAAAGAATTTCTTTAAGGGGGCTGGATCACACACCCCCACATGCACAGACCGAGTCCTCTGAGTAATTTCCCAGAGAGTCACGGGGGGGGGGGAAGAGGGTGAAATTCTTGACATGCATTTGAAGAAGTGCACTCTGACTCACAAAAGCTTGTGCTGAAATACACACTATTAGTCTCTGAGGTGCCACTGGCCTTCTAGCGGGGTTGGGAAGAGGCATCCGTGATAAACAGGCAAATGGGATGCAATTCCATTTACTGCCATCTACCAGACATGCCATTTCTCAGCCCAACTCTGCCATCTGTTCAGGCACAACAGGAAACAAGTGTCACATACCCCACTGTCCAAAGTAGCAAACAGGAGTAACACACTGGCTTCCTGCATGGTAAAAGGTAAAGGTTTCCCGTGCTCGGAAGACAGTCGAATCCGACTCTAGGGTGGCGGTGCTCATCTCCGTTTCCAAGCCGAAGAGCCAGCGCTGTCCGGAGACGTTTCCGTGGTCATGTGGCCGGCATGACGAAACGCCGAGGCGCACGAAGCGCTGTTACATTCCCACCAAAGCGGTACCTATTTATCTACTTGCAAGTTCTTGCTTTCAAACTGCTAGGTTGGCAGGAGCTGGGACCAGAGACGGGAGCTCACTCCATCATGCGGCACACTCGGGTTTCGAACTGCTGGACTACCGACCCTCCACAGCCTGCAGTTCAGCGTCTTAACCACTTGAGCCACCGCAGCAGTGGGGGGGTTGCTGACTGTTAATTCTGGTGGAAAAAAATCTTTATTCTCCATTTTTTAGACTTACCTCTTGCTGCAGTTTGTCGACTGCATTTGTCACACCTTCTTCGCCCGGCTTTCGGTACTTCTGGGTCATTGTGTCCTTCAGGTTTTGTTTCAACTCCGTACTCAGCTATGCAGGGAGCAGTGATGGGGATGAGAAATGGAAAGGAAACATGGTGACCATCATTCTCCAGTTCAGTCTCTCTGTCAGTTCCTATCATTATTGTTGATCGACCATCTTTTCCAAGGAAACAGAACACTTCCACTTAATGAAACACTGGCCTTAGAGCAACTCAGCCAACTCCTGGTCCAACGTTATAGGATATAAACGGGAATGAACACAACACAAGATTGGGTGAGGGATGCGGTGGTAGCCAAGTAAATGACCTTTGCTTCTCAAATGAAGAAATGCAGACCAGGCACTTTGCCTAAACCTTCCCCTCTTCTACACCTACTTCTGACTTTGCAGGACTCTTTCTCATCTTTTCTGCATGCGAACAGGCATTTCTTCTTCTCAAACCAACTTAGAAGAAGAAGAAGAGATTTTATCACCCCATGGCCCTTCACTACCCAAGGGAGTCTCAGAGCGGCTTACAAACTCCTTTCCCTTCCCCTCCCCACAACAGACACCCTGTGAGGTGGGTGGGGCTGAGAGAACTCTGACACAAAGTGCTGAAACTGCTCTTTTTCGAGAACAGCTCTTATCAGAACTATGGCTTGCCCAAGGCCATCCAGCCAGGGTGCAAGTGGAGGAGTGGGGAATCAAGCCCGGTTCTCCCAGATTAGAGTCCGCACACCTAACCACTACACCAAACTTAGGCAAAGCACTTGACGCTAGTTTAGATCCAAGCACTTTAGAACTTGATAGGGTTTGTGCTGTAGGCTGTCAGTAACCCTGAAGTTTGTGCAGGTCCAGTTCTGCTCCGTTCAACATCATGCAGGGCTCTTTTTGTAGAAAAAGCCCAGCAGGAACTCAGCATAATAGGCCATACCCAACAGCAGAAACTCATTAGCATATTAGGCCATCCCCTGACAGCACAGCTCATTGTCATATTAGGCCACTCCCCCATGTTACCAGAAGTGTGGTCATCCAGCCACACCCACCTTTTGCTTCTTATTCTGTTTGCCTTGTTTGTTGTCAAAACCCAGGGCTTTTTTGTAGCAGGAACTCCTTTGCATGTTAGGCCACACACCCCTAGTGAAGCCAATCCTAATGAGTTTCTGCTGTTGGGTGTGGCCTATTATGCTAATGAGTTCCTGCTGGGCGTGGTCAACTTGGGAGCCAGCCGGAACTCCGTTCCTGTGCGTTCCTGCCCAGAAATAGCCCTGAACATGAGACAGATGCAACATGCATGTAGCTGCTGACTGAGAAATGTGGTTCCTGGGGAGGCCATTGAAGGAACATGCTCCGTGCAACAAGGCAAGTGGGTACAAGGAAACACGTTATCCTAACTTAGACAAATGGTCCCTTTAGACCAACATGGATTGGCGGCGGCATGTTCTGTGGCGTCGCCAGCCAAGTTCTCTCTCAGTCCCACTAGCCAAGGTCCTATAAACTACAGATGCCAAGAACTCAATCTGGGACCTTTTACATTAAAAGACAGGGCTCTGCTACGGAGACTGGAGGAGGGGAGCACATGCCCAAGAAAACAAAGCTAGGATTTTGCATTCAAATACAGCATTAAATTCCGCATGAATAACAGGGAAGCACAAAAGGAGTGGCTGGAAACACATTTGTTTGTGCCAAATAACTGCCCTGATTGGAAGAAGAAGAAGAAGAGATTGGATTTATACCCCGCCCTTCACTTGGAGTCTCAGAGCGGCCTACAAACTCCTTTCCCCTTCCCCTCCCCACAACAGACACCCTTGTGAGCAATGTTCCCTCTAAGCTGAGTTAGTGTGAGTTAGCTCACAGCTTTTTAGCCTCCAGCTCACACATTTTTGTCTTAGCTCAGGAAGGAGGGCTCCAGAGTAAATTGATTTATGCAGTAGACAAATTGTTCGCTCACAACTTTAATGCCAGTAGCTCACAAAGTAGACTTTTTGCTCACAGGACTCCACAGCTTAGAGGGAGCATCGCCTGTGAGGTGGGTGGGCCTGAGAGAACTCTGACACAAACTGCCCCTTTTTCAAGGACGGCTGTGCCAGAGCTTGTGACTGACCCAAGGTCACATCAGCAGGTGCAAGTGGAGGAGTGGGGAATCAAACCCGGTTCTCCCAGATTAGAGTCCGCGCACTTAACCACTACACCAAACTGGCTCTCCAGTTTTGGGATTGGAGCCTAGAAGGCGCGAGGCTTTATGGCCTGCTAACTAGCATTAAACAGAAGGGGAGGGGGACAGACGACTTGTTGGCACTGAAAGCAAAATTATAAACACCACTCGATTAGCAGATGCCTTACTCAGGAAAGACAAAAGCCATTACCTGTGGGTTCATAGGGAAGAACTGCAGCATGGAATAGAAGCAGCAAAAAAAAAAAAGATCATCACAGTTTTATACACTCATTAGGAGAACACGTTAGCAAGCGGAGAAGTCAGAGGAGGAAATGCAACAGAAAGCACCCTGGGTTTGGGGAAGAAGGGGAAAGGAGGTTTACAAGGGAGGGAGGGAATGCAGGAAGGCAGGCAGGCAAACTGAGGCTTGCAAGACAAGTGTCATCCACAGCCTGTGGCGCTGCAACACCAAGGCTACAAATCCCCACATCCAGTGCTTTACACTGAATCTCATTAAAGCAGATGCCATACCTTTAGCCTTGGCTTGTGGTCTCTATTGTGTGAATTATGGATTTCCCATTAGTGAGTACTGGTGATGTCAGTGATTAGGTAAAGGTGAAGGTTTCCCTGGCTCGGAAGCCAGTCGAAAGATTAGATAGCGGTAAAGGTTTCCCCGGCTCGGAAGCCAGTCGAATCTGACTCTAGGAGTGCGGTGCTCATCTCCGTTTCCAAGCCGAAGAGCCGGCGCTGTCCAAAGACGTTTCCATGGTCATGTGGCCGGCATGACTAAACACCAAGGCGCGCGGAACGCTGTTCCCTTCCCACTGAAGTGGTACCTATTTATCTACTTGCAATTTCTTGCTTTCGAACTGCTAGGTTGGCAGGAGCTGGAACTCGAGACGGGAGCTCACTCCGTCATGCGGCACACTCAGGTCTCAAACTGCTGAACTACCGACCTTCCACAGCCTGCAGTTTAGCGTCTTAACCACTTGAGCCACCGCAGCCCCTTGTCAGAGATTAGGGCACTACAAATATTTTACACCTCATAGTTACATTGTGCACAGCTCCTTGATACCTGCATATCCCTAGTGCAGATACTCACGGGATAAGTCACAGAGTAAATCATCACCTACTCCTAAATCATGCCTTGTCAAACTTTTCTACATATCATGGAGAAACCATGGCTTGACGGTTGTGAACATGCTACAGAGTCTCACATTTCCTGTACCGGGCCTCTCCTCCCTTCATAGATGCTCACTTCCTTCTCCACATTGGCAAAATTTTGCTTCCTGGCCCTTAAAAAGAGGAAGCTTGTACCTTAGATAGCGAGTTGATGACAAATTAGCATTGTTTTTGTTTTGTTTTAATGAGATATTGTACTCGTTTTAAAGTTCTTTTATATATCCATTTGAATTTTATGTATTTATAGTGTATCTTATATTATTATTCCTCTTGGTAATCTTCTATATTGGCTGGTCGCTCGACCGTACTAATAAACTTGACTTGACTTCTCCACATTTTAGTTTTCTACCACACCCAAACAGGACAAATTAGTTAACTGCCAAACAAGAATCAAAAGCCAAAGTCCGAAATGGGTTTCTGATTTTGCTTTACCATTAGCCGTAACTATAATACAAAAAAGATAAGACGGGGTCTAGGACTTACCGCAAGTTATTGATGTATATTTCTGTTGTGCTTTGATTTACTTTGTGCTGTTATGGCCAATGGCTAAGACAATAAACGAATCTTGGAGAACTATAATATGACCAGTTCAGACATCACAGCAATCTATGATTACCAAGAAATGTAGAAGGAAATAGGCCCAGGAGAGGGAAGACAGCTAGGGTTGCCAAACCCTTCGGTTTGGCAGGGGTCCCCCACTTTTGGGGGGGTTCTACCCGCCACCGGCCAGCTAGCCAGCAGGGGAAGCCCCGCCCCCAAGCCCCACCACCCGCAGTTACCCCTCTCCCTTGAGAGAGAGGAGGGAGAGGGGTGGCTGCGGGCCACACGCCCGATCTCTGCCCAAGCGGAGATCGGGCATGTGGGGAAATGTTGGCTCCCTGCACTTAAAGGGGCCCCTTTAAGTGCAGGGAGCTGGTGTTTCCCTGTACGCCTGATCTCCGAGTGGAGATCGGGGGGCGCGGGGGGGGGCAAATGTCCCCAATGTGACGTCATCACATCGGGGATGCCCCGCCCCCACCAGGAACACCCCCCAAAGTCCCCCCGCTGGGGGAGAAGATGGACTTGGCAACCCTAAAGACAACACATGCAGTCACAACACATTCCCACCGGCCAAACCATGTGACCGTCATGAGTCTGAACCAAGCTTCCCTTTCACTGTACTCGGCATAGTGGCACAATCTGCTTTATCTTTCAGTAGCTGCTTCTGGCTAAGGAGAAGAAGTCTCGTTCTTTCACAAAGCCGTAGGCATCAGCATTGATTTGCTGTTCTTTTGCGATCAAGAAAAGAGTACTGTTCTAAAGTAGACGCACATGGATTGGTAGTCACTCCAAGTCGTATCAGCATATCAAGGTGAAAGACAATGTACTGGAAGGAAATATGTATTTCATGCAGATGCAAGCTGCTGAATGCTTGGTTAAAGAGTATTTTCACAAATTGAAACTGGCTCCGAAATTGCTGATTACTTTTGTGCTGTATTAAATGTACAGTGTAATATGGGGATTTCTGAGCAGAGATCATTCCAGGTGTTTTTTTTAACTTACTAGCTATAAACCCATGTAGTTTGAATCAACTGTCTTCCCCAATATTTTTTTACATGGGAGAATGGCCCATGTGCCATACGAATGCACCTAAAATACGGCTTTACAGTGAAATGCATTTTTTTTTTTACACTGGATGCTGAAAAACACAAGTGGAGGCTCACACACCACACCTTAGGACAGGGGTGTCAAACATGCAGCCCGCGGGCCAGAGACGGCCCGCCCAGGCCTTTGATCTGGCCCGTGGCTCTCTTCTCCTCCCCCTTCCCCACCCCTCTCCGCCTTCAACATTCTGAGCTGCCGCTGAGTGCTGGGAGCAGAGGGCAGGGCTGCTGAGCTTCCCAGTTCCCAGCCACGTGGCTCGGCTAGAGCTGTTTATTTAAGCCTGCCGTGCAAAAGGGAGGGAGCTCGGTGGTTGACCTGTGCTTCTGGGTGCTTCTGTTAACTTGGATTGAGGCTGCAGCCAGTAAGTCTGCTAGAGCTGTTTCATTTTTTTAAGTCTCCCATGCAAAGGGGAGGGAGCTTGTTGCTCTGCTTCCAGGTGCTTTTCTGTTGTGTTAACTGAGCTTCAGGCTGAAGCAAGTGGCTCTGCTAGAGCTCTTTATTGCTTTAAGTCTTCTGTGTGAGGGGGAGGGGATTTGGTTGCAAACACTATCGTCAGGCCCGTAGCTAACATGGGGCCCACGGGGCCTGCCCCCCCCCCGCTATTTTTGTGGGGCCCCGATCTTCAACTCCCCCCTCCCTCCCTCTGGCCCCCTCACCTCCTGATCGACCTGAGCCAGCATCTCCCCGCTTGAGCTCATCTGCGATGAGCTGAGTCTCTTTAGGACCCAGCAGCAACCGGTGGTTGACGGAGTCACACACACATTGGTCAGATTGCAGCAGTTAGATCCTCCTGTTGGATTTTCTGCTCCAGGCTCATCGGCTCAGGGAAGGAGTGAGGGAGGAGTAATGCCAATCAGTGTTCCCTCTAAGCTGAATTAGTGTGAGCTAGCTCCCAGTTTTTTAGCCTCCGGCTCACACATTTTTGTCTTAGCTCAGGAAGGGACGGCTCCAGAGCAAACTAATTCATGCAGTAGCCAAATCGCTCGCTCACAACTATAAAGCCAGTAGTTCTACTTATTTTAAAAACACGGCAACTTTTTTAGACCTTTTAGTGTCTATTAACATTGGGATGCTGGCTCATCTCAGAGGAAGGCTCTAGTGGGGGCCGTGTGGGTGCACGCCAAGCAGGACCCCCCCCTTGCCCTGGAGCCTTTGATGTAATTTGCTGGTGGGCCCCCCCCCCCAAGGCCTCCTCCCCCAAAAATCCCTAGCTACGGGGCTGACTGTCGTGCATCTTGATGGAGGCTTTTCTCTTGTGTTTACTGAGATTTGACACAAGAGCCACCTAGGTTTGCTAGGGTTCTGGGCTATCAATAATTCCTGTCTCTCCATTCTTCTTGGGGGCAGTGTTTGTTTAGTTCGCACTAGGTTTTTTCCCTGGGCTATCCAGGTCATGGCTCAGTTGAAGAGCCTCTGCTTGGCATGCAGGGTTCCATCGCTGGCACCTCCAGTTAAAAGAAACCAGGCTGTGGCTTATTATGAGAAAGACTTCAGGCTGAGACCCTGGAGAGCCACTGCCGACTCTGAGTAGACCTGGAAGAGGAGAGAAGCTTACAATGCCCAGCCATTTCGTGTTTTCCCTTTGGTCCTAGCCTCAGAGTACTGGCCATGAGAGCAGGCTGGGGAAAGTAAAGTAGCATAATTTGCACACGCTGAGACACTGCCGCTGCGTGGTTAGGCTGGGGAAAGTTCAGCAATGGGGAGGATATGGGATTCCCTCCCTGAGAGTTTTGTAGGCCCCCACTTCCATAATGGTGCTTTTACCCACACTTAGGGTTGCCAAGTCTCTTACCTGCTATAGAGGGGGGACCCGGTCCGCACGCGCACCCTGATGACGTCACCCGGAAGTGACATAATCACGCTGGGAACATCGCCAGGCGACACTCTAGCAATCGCCCGGCAACATGCCCGGCGTGATTATGCCACTTCTGAACGACGTCATCGCGCTGGGCATATCGGCCTGATCTGGCCACTTCAGGGGTGGGGTCCCCCCCGCCGGCCGGATTGGGACCGGTGGATTGGGGCCCTTTTGGCGGGGGAATCCCCACCCCCCGAGGGGACTTGGCAGCCCTACCCACACTAAATACTAAATAACACACTTTCAAAACACTTTGCAGCTGGGTTTTACGGTGTGAAATGGCAAAATCCACTTGCAAATGGTAGCTGAAGAGGACTGAAACTGCATTTTAGCATGTGTGAGAGCTCCCTTATTTGCCAACTCCAGTTTGGGAAACAACAGGAGATTTGGGGTGCCGGGGCCCAGGGATGGCACCATTAGGGGAGGTATTGGGGCATCAACAAGGTCTAACTCCACACAACCCGTCCTCCAAAGCAGCCATTTTCTCAATGGGAGCTGTCAGGTCAGTTGCAATTCCAGTTTCCCAGGCCCCACCTGGAGGTTGGCAACCCTATTTACGGCCCAGACCGACAAAGTCCTATTTATGTCATATCCAGCCCTCATAACAAATGAGTTCGACACCCCTGCCTTAGAATAACCCCTCACCCTGGCATTGCCGCACGGGCCCATATAGCTAGAGTACAATGTGGAACTTATTGCTCTCCCACACTAATTGCCAGTTCAGGATATCAGTCTCTTGCAGTACAATGCAGGGTTCCACCTTTCTAAATCAACAGGCTTAGAAGGGTTTATATCGGCTTAGAATTGCAGTATTGGTCACTTCAGGCTTTTTGGTGTGGTCAACTTTCTGTCCAACAGTGGCCTAAAAGTAAAGGTTCCCTTGCTCGAAAGCCAGTCAAGTCCGACTCTAGGGCTGCGGTGCTCATCTCCGTTTCAAAGCCGAAGAGCCAGCGCTGTCCGAAGACGTTTCCGTGGTCATGTGGCCGGCACGACTAAACACCTAGGCGCACGGAACGCTGTTTCCTTCCCACCGAAGAGGTACCTATTTATCTACTTGCAATTTCTTGCTTTCGAACTGCTAGGTTGGCAGGAGCTGGAACTAGAGACGGGAGCTCACTCCGTCATGCGGCACACTCGGGTCTCGAACTGCTGAACTACCGACCTTCCACAGCCTGCAGTTCAGCGTCTGGAGTACCGGTCTATAACTGGGGGAGGCAAGGAAAGAACCAAATCACAACAGAATGACAGATATAACTGCCAGGAGGGGAATGGGTGTGTGTGCACATGGCGCAATGCACTCACTGGGAGGAGACTTGTACAGAGTAAGAAGGAATGGTTTTCACCTGGCAAACACAGCCCATCAGACCGACTGGCCCTTTGCCAACTGTTCCCTATAGTTGCTTAAAGGTAAAGGTAACGATTCCCTTGCTCGAAAGCCAGTCGAATCAGTCTCTAGGATTGCGGTGCTCATCTCAGTTTCAAAGCCGAAGAGCCAGCGCTGTCCGAAGACATTTCCGTGGTCATGTGGCCGGCATGACTAAATACCAAGGTGTACAGAACGCTGTTACCTTCCCACCGAAGTGGTACCTATTTATCTACTTGCAATTTCTTGCTTTCAAACTGCTAGGTTGCTTACCTGCCGGTAATAGATATAGGCCAGGGTTCCAGCGATTATTTCAAGGAGGAAGATGCACAGCAGCAATATAAAATACTGCAAAAGTTAAAAGAAAAAGAAAAAGTTAAAATGCGGCACGCGGCAGGATAGCCCTGGGAAATCAATTTAAAGCCGAGGGAAGATGTTCACAGTGCTCTAAAAGAGATTCCATTTCCCCATCAAAACATGTTGCGACAGAACGAACGGAGTCAGTGCCAGCGCGATCGTAAAACCCAGAAAATTAACAGGAGGCAGCTGAGCTGAGAGCTAGTGGCAGACCTGGATATAAAATTATGGGTTTGGGGTTCTGGAGATTTGCTGGATGTAATTCAATACTATCTGGGGATGAAAAGAAATTTGGATCTAGGTTTCTGATTTTTTTCACAGCCCTTGACTCTATGTGCCAAACTAGAAGAAGAAGAAGAAGAAGAAGAGACTGGATTTATACCCCACCCTTCACTACCCAAGGGAGTCTCAGAGCAGCTTACAAACTCCTTTCCCTTCCCCTCCCCACAACAGACACCCTCTGAGGTAGGTGGGGCTGAACGAGCTCTGACAGAAACTGCTCTTTTTCAAGAACAGCTCTGACAGAACTACGGCTTGCCCAAGGTCGTCCAGCAGGTGCAAGTGGAAGAGTGGGGGAATCAAACCCGGTTCTCCCAGATTAGAGTCCGCGCACTTAACCACGACACCAAACTGGCTCTCAATGTGACGTGAAGGCGTCCACAGGTCAGTTCCATGGATGCCACTGCCATTTTAAAGCAACTTTAAAATGTCTCAAAGCCCACAGTGTGGCAGGCTAAGGCACTCTTGTTCCCTGCCACACACTTTTCCAAGTGCTGAAACGGCCACACACACGGCTGTTCCAGTGCTTGAAAAGGTGTGCAGGGGAGAACAAGAACCCAGTCATTGCAACATTTTTTAATTGCTTTAAAATGGTGGCGGCATCCACAGGTCTTGCCTTTTGTGTAATTTGGCCCTATGAAATCTTTCTTAATGAGTAACGGAAATCTTAAGAAGAAGAAGAAGAGATTGGATTTATACCCCGCCCTTCACTTACCCAAAGGTGTCTCAGAGCGGCTTACAAACTCCTTTCCCTTCCCCTCCCCACAACAGACACCCTGTGAGGTGGGTGGGGCTAAGAGAACTCTGACACAAACTGCTCTTTTTCAAGGACAGCTGTGCCAGAGCTTGTGACTGACCCAAAGTCACATCAGCAGGTGAAAGTGGAGGAGTGGGGAATCAAACCCGGTTCTCCCAGATTAGAGTACGCACACTTTACCTCTACACCACCACTACACCAAACTAAGTTTCACCTTGTTTACCAAATTGGCTCAGTCGAAGTCGCCAGAAGTATCATTGCTTAGCAAAACAACAACATTGTCCTGGCAAAACAGAAGGTCAGACTTCGAGCAACACACAATTATACCATGAAGCCCATATATCCTATAGGTTCAGAGGAGAGTACCGTAGACCAAGATCACTCTGAAAATGTGAATACAGTGGAAGACCAGGATCAGAAATTACTACTACTTTTATGTGATACTCCAGTAAGCCTAGGACGATATAAACAGGGCCACAAGTCAGTCTTCCACCAAGGTTTCAGCCTAAACAAGGTGCCTTCAGGATACTGTGTAAGCCAGGCCCTGTGGCTGGTTTAATAACTGACATTTGATCTAAACGATTTCAGTAAGGAAGTTCTTGAAGCCACTGTAAGAAAACTGGAAAGGGTGAAGATATGATAGAATCCCTCAGAGCTCCAATGCAAAGAAAAGATCCGGCCTTTTTTGTACCAGAGAAGATTTAGATTCTCTTCCAGCAAATACATAAACTCCATCAAAGCTGATCTTGGTCAGAAGCAGAGCAAGTTAATATTTTGTTCAACATCTGCCAATAGATCAGGTAACTATTTGCTTATTAAGAGGGGGGAACCCTTCCACTGAACTTGTGTGAGCGTATAAAGTATAGAATATCTTGATCGAAACAAGAAAGATTACTACACACTCATTTCATTTTACATTGTGATCCAGAGTGCCTCACCCTACTGATTTTATTCCCGGGCATTTTTTATTTTATTTTTTCCAATATAACTACAACCAACAAACAATTGAACATTAACACTGTACATGAATAAAGTTTCAGTTATTGATGCAATAAGCTAGAAATTAAAAGTAATTTTCAAAAGTTATATAAAGTCATAAGTCCTGTATCAATTACTTTACAGTTCATTCCAAAAATTAAATTAACCAACTGGTTTTCAAGAAATCATAATATCGGTACTGAGAGTAACACTTGTTTTCAAGAACATCATCTACTTCTTCCAAAATCGGGAACCATCTTTCTAAATATATATATCAGGTAGTCCTGTCATGGTTGTGGAATGTGGAGGGGTACCCTCCCTCTCGTTCTCAGCTCTATCCTGCTCAGCTGCTGTGTGCTATCTTATGCTTGACCTTGTAGATGTTCCAGCTGCAGTTTCCACGGCTAGGAAAGTTAACGGCTTTTCTGCTATGCCCGCTTGCTTTGCCCCGCGCGCGAGTTATATCCATTGACTCATGCTTACAGGGGGAAGGTTTGATTTCACTATAAGTCAGAGGCCCTACTACTGACGGCCATTCCTGACACAAGCTGTACACGTGTTCTTTAGTCCTAGATCCACTAATAAACAGCTATCTTCTTATGAAGCCCTGTGTGGTGTGACCTGACTAAGGGGCCTGACAATATACTGAAGAGCTTTTTGATGGCTCTGAATTAGATAGTGCATCTGACATTTTGTCCATTATTAAGTGGTCGCAGATTTTAAAGTACCAACTTTTTACAGTGGGACTATCTTCGGTCTTCCAGCATCTCCCAGGCATTTCATACCGGTTCTAGTCTAGTACTCCTGAGCTAAAGAGACCACAACTGACCAATGTACAACTTCACTTATCACAAACTTTCAACATGCAAGTGTAATTAAATTTTTAAAAAAATAAAAAATTGTTACCTAATGAAGCTGCCTTAGCTTTCACCGTACTGACTGAAAGTGGCTTTGCAAAGACTCGAGAAGAAGTTTTGCCTAGGCCTTGTACTCAAAACTCTTTTAAAACTGAACACAGAGTATCTCGGCAGCACGAAGTCATCACAAATTTATTGCGGCTTCAACAACTGCGTGCCAGAACTCTCATCTTCAAGTGCAAGAGATTGAAGCTGAGACCACGTATACGCAAAGCATATATTTTACCACTGGACTATGGCCTCCCAATAGTTTTCAAAGCTACAGTTGCTAGTTCTCTTTTGCAAATGAAATGTAACCCCTTCCGCTGACAACGCTTGTCTTGAAATGTAACCCCTTCCACCGACATGAGCAGAAACTCATCACAAGCTTGTTAGGTGACAGTGGAATGTTTAATTGCTTGGGGCCAGACAGGATGCTGGAATAGCTGGACTTCTCATAGGGAGGGTTTCCCAAATGGGCAAATGCCGAGGACATGCTTGCTACATAGTAGGCTGCAGGAATAGTTTCAGGAACTTTGGGAAGAACTGGCAGACAGCTGTTTCAAAAGAAGTCACAGTGCATGCAAGGATTTCCCCAGCCAAGCTACTCAGATGAATCAACAAAGTTGCACTCCCTCTATCCACCTTCAAGCACAGGCCATCCACCAGGGTAACTTTCAAAAGAAAAACGTCAGGACGGACAGTTGCTCCTTGCCTAGCATTCTGGTCTGGTTGTGGTAGCACCTGACGCTGCATAGTGATATAGGGGTGGGGAGGAAGTGGGAAAGCATCTTCTTAGATGTTTGTGGAGGGGGGGGGGAGAACTCCTTTCTGACTTCAATAGCCCACTTAGGTAATTTCTTCTGACCATAATCACAGAGCATTTTCTGAATACAGTTACTAAATTGTGCTGTAAAAACATGCTCAGTCTGTGGATCACCATAAAGACGAAGAGCAGGGCTATTTTGGGGCAGGAACGCACAGGAACGGAGTTCCGGCTGGCTCCCAAGTTGGCCACGCCCAGCAGGAACTCATTAGCATAATAGGCCACACCCAACAGCAGAAACTCATTAGGATTGGCTACTTTAGGGGTGTGTGGCCTAACATGCAAAGGAGTTCCTGCTACAAAAAAAGGCCCTGGGTTTTGACAACAAACAAGGTAAACAGAATAACAAGCAAAAGGTGGGTGTGGCTGGATGACCACACTTCTGGTAACATGTGGGTGCGGCCTAATGTGCTAATAAGCTGTGCTATCAGGGGTGTGGCCCAATATGCTAATGAGTTCCTGCTGTTGGGTGTGGCCTATTATGCTAATGAGTTCCTGCTGGGCTTTTTCTACAACAAGAGCCCCGACGAAGAGTATAATTTCACATGACTTTCCGTGTCAAGATCTAAATGTTTAGTAGATAAAGAAACCAGGACTTGCTGCTGCCCTTTAGCCTTGCTGGCAATATGTTTTGGGTATATGCTGAGCTCAGATCTGGTGAAAACCTCCAAAGCAACTCAGGCTGGGTGGATAGCACAAAGTATGCTTTGTGCATATTTCCTCATCACCCGAGGCCAACTAAAGTGGAGGGTGAGTGGCAGCAGACAATAGACCTGTCACAACCAGCAACTCAGAGAAGGGAAGAAACAAAAGGATCTTTTGTTTTCAAGAGACAACTATTAGTTTTCTGGTGGCCAAGTAACAAAGGGCCAAAATAACAAAAAAGGATCAGCTTTTTCATCTGTAATTCCTAGTTTGGAAAGACAAAACAGAAAAGGAGAACTCTCTCACCCAGTGAGCTATTGTGTGCATGCCAAAATGGACTGCTACAGTCTACAGGCTACGTCAGCTCGAGTATTGTCATGAGTCACCAGAAGCATTGTGTGTCATCTCTCAAAATAACGTCTCGGATCTTGGTGACAACAAAAGGTCACGCAGCAATAATGCAAAGAGAGCGACTTCACTTCCCCCCCCCCTTTTCTTTTTTGCAGTGCCAGGCAGTTTCTCCTTCTATAACTCATCCTTCTATAACTATAACAATACTGATTGTTGGTCCTAAGTTTTACAAGCTTTCTGCAACACAGGCATCAATACCCATGTAAGAGAGATCACTACACGAAGCAGCCCTTAGTGAGAATGTGTCTAGCTCACAGACCCATTTCTGCGTCCAATTCTGTTCACTCATATTTCCCTGATGTAGCAATATGGCTCTCATAAGAACATAAGAGAAGCCAATGTTGGATCGGGCCAATGGCCCATGCAGTCCAACACTCTGTGTCACACAATGGCCAGAAATACCAGGTGCCATCAGGAGGTCCACCAGTGGGGCCAGGACACTAGAAGCCCTCCCACTCTTGCCCCCACCCAAGCACCAAGAATACAGTGCATCACTTGCCCCAGCCTGAGAGTCCCTATCTATACCTTGTGGCTAATAGCCACTGATGGACTTCTGCTCCATATGCTTATCTAATTCCCTCTTGACGCCGTCCATGCTTGTAGCTGCCACCATTTCCTGTGGCAGTGAATTCGATGTGTTAATCACTCTTTGGGTGAAAAACCACTTCCTTTTATCCGTTTTCATGGAGTGCCCACGAGTTCTTGTATTGTGAGAAAGGGAGAAAAGCACCTCTTTCTCTACCTGCTCTATCCCATGCACAATCTTATAAACCTCGATCATGTCACCCCTCAGCCGTCGTTTCTCCAAGCTAAAGAGCCCCAAGCGCTTTAACCTTTCTTCATAGGGAAAGTGTCCCAACCTCTCCTTCCACATACGCAATCCCATACCCAAGTATTTATGACCAGAAAACCCACCGCTCTCAGCAGGTTCCGCTGCTCTCTGAACGTGGCACAGCAGCCTAAGATGCCCGTGATCATGACGACGACTCCTGCCACGACCAGGATATAGGCTGTTGCCATGTACGTATTGGACTGCAGGAGGCTGATGTAGTCACTCTTCTCTATTAGAGTCCAGATGCCTACTGCCATCACAGCGCCACCTGCCAACTGGGAGAAGAAAATGAAGTCAGGAAAAGGTTGCCCCCTTTTTAACAAGAGGCAGCATTGTCTTTTGAGGGAAATGTCTTTCCTTGCCAGTGGTCATTCAGAAAGGCCTGGTGGGTTATCAGTGTTCCCTCTAAGCCGAGTCAGTGTGAGCTAGCTCACAGTTTTATAGCCTCTGGCTCACACATTTTTGTCTTCGCTCAGGAAGGAGGGCTCCAGAGAAAACTAATTTATGCAGTAGCCAAATCGCTCGCTCACAACTTTCACGCCAGTAGCTCACAAAGTAGACTTTTTGCTCACAGGACTCCACGGCTTAGAGGGAACTTTGGTGGGGATCCAGGTCCATGACGTACTACTCCACTCCTGTTGTTGTCCGTCCCACAGAACTGAGTGGATGTACCAGTATCCCGGCAAAAATATCCCAAACAGAGAGGAATTCATACTCTATTGGAATGTCCAATAGATCCAGGTCTGCTCCTTCTAGGCCTGGTATCCCAATCAAATATTATCGATACACTGTTGTTTGATCACAGCCGACTGTTCCATAAAAAGGAGGAATGCTAATGCACAGGTTCTGGTTTACGTTTTAGAAATTGCATTACGGTGCCATTTGTTAGCAAGGGTAGCACTGAAGGCTGCAGCGATCGGGGCAAACCAAGCAGCACAGCAAAGCTTCTTCTACTGGCTACCCGCTGCTAACTGCAGACATCTCCAAACAATAAACAGAAATACAAGCAGCTTGTCAGTCATTAAAGCCATGGCTTTTGAAAGAGATCCAATAATTTCCGAGGAGATCAACAGAATCAATGTACTTGTCCAGGCTATATTAGAAAGGACACAAGTATTCCTCTGGCCACATCTCAAATTCACAGTGTGTAGCCGTGAGGTACGCAAATGGTTAGAGCTGGCCCCTTACCCAAAAAAAGAAGTTGAAGATGAAGAGCAGATATTTGAGGCAGATGGTCCCACATGTCTCCTTGTTTTCGTTATATTCACGCATTGTCGCCGCTAAGCAGAGCTGTGGAAATGGAAGAAGAAAAAGAAAAGTTAAGCCCAGCTAGAATCCTTTCCTTTTCTCATCGGACTAGTCTTCAGAGACCTCATGAAGACACACCTTAAAACAGAACCTATCACAGGAAGAAGCCAAATGTATTCGTTCAAGGCCAGGTCTGGACTTTAATCTTTCGGTGCCATGACACGGAAGGCTCTACCTTACATCCCCTCCAATATAAACTTCCCAGATAGATGGCACCAAGTTGAGCCTCCGTGTTGATGCTAATATGGTGGAAATTATATAGGCAGGGGTCATTTCGTAGAAAAAGAGGTACAGGAGCTCATTAGCATAGCTCATTAGCATAACTTATTTGCATATGCCACACCCCCTGACCTCACCGGAAGTATGTCAGAAGGCAACACCCACCGCTCAGGCTCCACTGGACTGTTTTGGATTGCTAGCTATTGGGGGGGAGGGATGTGCAGATCTGTCCTCGCAGAGGAGGGAGAGCTTGTGCCTGAATAAAGCTTGGTCTTAAAGCTGCCACTGGACTGTTTTGGACCAGGGGGCCGGGCTCTGCAGCTTACCTGGCTGCTTCTTGCTCTGACTGAGGGCTGCTGGGAGCAGGGGGTGGGGCTTGTTGCATGTGACCGCCCCCTGGGCTCTTTACTGCCGGAGCTCTGCTCCTGTGCGCTCCTGCAGGAAATGACCCCTGTATATAGGTGAAAGTATCCTTGAAGAGAGATTTGGCCAAGTAGAGTAAATCACTATTACTAAAAAGCTCTGTGTTATGTATTGTGTTATATGGATAGCTTGAATTGTGGAATGAGCCTGAGCTTCAGTCACAAGCTTCCTAGACTCTCAGTATCCTGAAATCAACAGCCTGATTGGTCCATTGCACAACGGCAGCCAATCAGGGAAGACTATGACTTTCAGTGGGGACAAACCCTACTGGTCCTAAGCACTCACTTCTGATTGGACCTTACTGTTCTAGGGGTGTGGTTTAGCCAGTTCCAAACTGTATATAAGTTGGGATTGTTCCGTGTGTGTTCTGTGTTGTCGCGTGTACTGTTCTAATAAACTGAAATAAATGGATTAAAGAAAGAGCTGCCTGATCTCATGTTACAACACTCCACAAAACAGCAATTGGTCCAGCTCATGTTTTTTCTGATATTAGAAGGAGCAAGCCATCATTGGATTTACCATGTAGTTGCAGTTTGAAGCACAAAAGTATTTTCTTTTGTTTCCTTCCCATTTGGAAACTACACAGCCCCCTCAGGAGATGGTGCATGAACGCTGGGGAGAAAACCCGCAGCGATGGGAATCTGCTCATCCCCAAATCAAGCCCATTTCTACATGTCCCTTTTGTTCAGTTATATAAGAAAATAATTTTTTTTCCCCTCTTGGCAGATGTGAAGGCACAGTTGTCAGGAGAGAAGCGGCTCTGAGATGACATAATTCATCCAAGACAGTATCGGGAAGAGAGTGGCAAGCTCCGCTCTTGGCTCCCTGACAACTCAGCCATCACGAAAAATTACCACATGACGACGATAAAATATGAGAGGCAACTTCAGACACATCAGGTTGTCCTAGAACAGTGGTGGCGAACCTATGGCACAGGTGCCAGAGGTGGCACTCAGAGCCCTCCCTGTGGGCACGCGTGCCATCGCCCCAGCCAGGCCCAGACCATCATTAAAGTGTCGAATTCTCTGCCAAATAATGTTAAGTAAATGAAAGCATTTGGGATTGCTTTCCTTACTTTGTTTGGATCATCTTAAGTTAATGTATGAGTGTTTTTTTCAAAAGTAAAACCTCAGTATTCAGGTTAAATTGCCGTGTTGGCACTTTGGGGTAAAAAAGTGGGTTTTGGGTCACAGTTTGGGCACGCGGTCTCTAAAAGGTTTGCCATCACTGTCCTAGAACCTCATGCCCACCTATTTTTCTTATGCTGCTCATAAAGGATGAGAGATTTACTGTCCTGTGGAGAGAAGACTTTTTGTTTATCAATATCAGAGAACATATTATTCAAGGGCAGCAACCTCTAAAAAGAAGAGCAGTAAAATAAAATGGTCATTGCACACCACAAAGGAATCCTGGGAATTGTAGTTTTAGAAGGTTGCAGAGCGCTATCTCTTAGTGATCCCGGGCAGCACACAATTCCCAGGAGTCCTCAGAAGAAACAAGGCCAGTGAACCTGGCTTGAAAAGACTGCAGTACAAGACTAGAGATGTAAAATTTCCGGAAATTTTGAAGCTCGGAAGAAAACCTGTTTTTTTCCCGGAAGAAAACAGAAATTTTCGGAAAAATTGAAAAAAAATGCTACATTAGCCCTTCTTTTTTCTTTCCCAGATTGAAAGTCATTCTGTTACTTTAGGAACATAAGATATGACTACGGACATTTTTACTTGGCATGAAATTATCACAACTAGAATATTAAAAATATAGTGTATCCAAACAATTATTACAAACAGAATACCCACCCACATGCAAAAACAAAACTGAAACCTTTTTCTTTTCATGTGACAATAGCTCCTCCTAAAGGAAGAAATGCATCTTGTTCTTGCACTGGAGAGTTCAGTTTGTAACCTAAGACTTGCTTGTCCTCAGTGCACAGTGCACGGAAATTAGATCAATCTGATACCATACATATTTTTTAGAAATGATTTGGAAAATATTTGAACACCTTGTCTTAAAATATTTTATTTATCATGTTAAAATAAAATGTTCAATAATCATTTTTTTTCCTTTCTTTTTTCAATTTTTCGGGAAAAAACAAAAAGGGCTTCAGGAAAAAAACGGGGGGAAACGGGTTTTTTCTTAATTTTTCCGGGTTTTTTTCCCCGGGCTTTCACATCTCTACACAAGACATGACCGAACAGATTTGCCCAAGCTGAACTTGTACTTTTAATTCTGTGAAGTCTGCATGTTGAATGTTTTTAGACCACATGCATTACAGAAAAGTGACCCCAAAGTTTTTCAGTATTATTAGATAGGTGCACAAGGCTTTAAGGGAGGAAAAATAAGTGGTCAGCCATAGTTTGTTCAGGATGGGGGGAGACAGCTTAAAGTTCAGTCCTGAGGAGGGTTTCCTATAAACTACAAAAAATGCATCACAGAGTGGGTATTGCTACTTTCCCCCCTTTTGAGAACTTACAAATTATAATATCAACACTGATATTAAATGAATGGCAAAAAGATTGCTCAAATTCTATCAGGACATTGAGGACGCTGCAAAAACCACAACTGGAAGGAGGTTTGTCATGTCCCAGTCTCTTGAAATATAATCAAGCAGCTAAACTAAAAACAATTCATAAAGGGTGATTTTTTAAAAAATTGTCCATGGCACCCATTAGAGTATTTCTGTTGATAGGAAATCAGTGGAGACACTGTGCCTGTGCTGAGAGGCATCTACTTCAGGGGACCGTAAAATCCAACTCCTTGGTCCAATTCACTTGAAAGTTGGGGGGGTATGTAGATTAGAGGGGGAATTACGTTCTGAGCAAAATTGGTGGCATTATCTTTGTAAAATAACTGTCCGAGATCCTCCAGCGTATTTCCTTCTGAAATTAATGGACCCAAAGAACCAGAAAAACTACACGGACTTGAATCCCAAGCTAGTACACAAACACAAGCAATTGTGGAAAAAATCCCACCACCACCCTAGAACCCCAGAGATGAAATTATAATGAATTTTTTTCCTTTGTGCACACCCCTAAGGATCACATCTCCAGTGGAAAAGGCTGGCCACTCCATGCCATAGTAGAGTAAAGGACAAAGATGTAATTGCCATCCAATACATCCCAACCAGTTGTTTTTAAATATGATTTCAATTTAAAAATTGAACACGACTGAATGAATTAACACTGAGGAATTTCACATTACCCTTTTTAACCCGTTCTGAAGCCGTTTTTGATCCGTTGTGGAGTAAACCGGTATAGGGCTGCCATTTCATACATGGCTTTCCCCTACCGGTAAAGAGCTGGATCTGAAACGGTTTGCCATTTTAGACTGCACCGCTTTTTCCCCACCGTTTTTCGCCCATGCGGGCGATCTCCGGCTTTTTTTTAAACGTTCGCTTTAGAGCGCTATAGCGCTATAGTGCTCTAACACAACACTCCAAGCATTCCAATAGGGTTCATATAATGCTGTTGTGTAATAGCGTTATACCGTTATTGCGCTATAAAGCGAACGTTAAAAAAAAAGCTGGAGATCGCCTGTGCGGGCAAAAACGGCTGGGAAAAAGGGCATCGGAACCGGGAGAGGAAACTGAAGACTACTTGGAAGCAGTTGACAGGTAAAATGCTTCAGCCCCATTTCCTAAATGGGACAGTAGCGTTTGTGTGTGAAATTACAAATATATTCCGGTAGGGAACCGGTTCTAAAACAGTTCTGTCTGAAATGACAGACCAGAAACCGTTTGGGAACCATTCCTCTTCCGGATTATATCGTCTGTCTGAAATTCCTCACTGTTCTGATATTTCTCTTGTCAGTGAGTAGCAGGCATGATTTAATGTGTTAAGAACATTTCCATGCCACCTCTCCAGAGAGCCTGCTCAAGGTGGCTCACAACATAAAGCATGATTTAAAAATATTAAAAATTAACAAGCTATTAAAAACTCACCACAGGAACATTTAGCAACTTAAGATTTATTTCATGTCTACTGTAATACCGTATACATGACAGACAGAACGCCCGGCTAGGCTGAGCATGGTATAACATTTGTATTTTGCAATCTCTGGGTTCTGATCAAAGCGCATTAGGCAGCAAAAGGCGTCGTGCATGGGTGATAGCCAGTGAGTCATATAACAGCCATTTCTGTCACCAATGGTCCTGGTCAGTAATAGCATCTCACAGTACAGCACAGCTATTCTTGCATTTAAACCCATAAATCAAGAAGAGCACTGCTGGGACTTAAATACCCTATACAGATCACTGGAGATGTGATCATTAGGAGTGTGCACAAAGAAAAAACATTACACAGGGGTCATTTCCTGCAGGAGCGCACGGGAGCGGAGCTCCGGCA